CCCAGGTCCTTCCTGGCGGTCTTCAGCACCCTGGCCAGGTTCACGGGCCTCCGGGCCGCCTTCTGCTCCGGGGGCAGGGGCTTGCGGCCCCGCTTCTTCCGGATGGGGTCCTTCAGCTCGGGCTTGGCCACCAGGATCTGCGCCTTCTTCTGCGGCACTGGGTGGGTCTCCCGGCCGCGGGGGCCCCTCTTGGCGTCTAGGTCGCTGTCCCCCTCTTCATCAGAGGAAGAGGAGGAGGACGTGGAGGACGAGGAGGAGCTGCTGGACTTGCACTTGGAGGAGGTGTCCGGTTCCTGCAGAGACCCAGGGAAGGTGTCACCCTTTGCGGCCTGGTCCCTGGGTCCAGAACACACACTTCCCCCCAGGGTCTCGGCCACGCTGAAGCCAGCACCTCCCGTCGCTTCCACACTAGAGGCAAACGGGGGGAGCGAGCTAAAAGCAGGAAAATGGCGCCGCCGGGCCTGGCTCAGTGGACAGAGCGTTGGCCTAAGGACTGAAGGGCCCTGGGTTCGATTCTGGTCAAGGGCCTGTGCCTGGTCGTGGCTCTGCAGGAGGCAACCCATCGATGCGTCTCTCTCTGTCTCCCCTCCTCCCTTCCACTTTCTCTAAAGATCAATGGAAATAAAGAAATAAAAATAGAAACCAATGGAGAAATATCCTCAGCTCAGGAGCCTGCACTCGCTGCGACCCCACGCAGAGGCCTGGAGGCAGCAAGGAGGCGGCAGGAGGCCAGGGACTCCCTCCCCAAAGCCCTCAGCCCTCCCGCCCGCACCTGCACTCCACCCCAGCACCGGAGGCGAGCAGCCAGAGCAGGCCTCGCCACCCACCTTGAGCTTGGAGTGCCGGCCGCAGGAGGACATCACCGCGAGCTTCCGCGGCCTGCCCCGGGGCCGCTTGCCTTTCTTCCGGTTCTGCACCTCCTTCTCCTGTTCCCTGAAGAGAATCACCATCGGGGTCACAGAACCGCCCTCACACGGGACCCCATGGCCTCAAACCCCGTCCACTGCAGCCCAGCCCTCTGCAGTGCCCGTGATGTTTGCACACCCCTCCTCCATTCCACTGGCGTCGGGTAAAGACAAGTCAAAGAGAGCCAAGCGGACCCGCCACGTGAACAGTTTCGGTCTCTCCGACTCCACTTACAGCACGCCTGACCCAGGCCTCTCTGCAGGCAGAATGTTTCCGGAGAATTCTAGAACGCCACGAGGAGTCGTTGTGGTCACATGGCCCAATCCCCTCATTTCAAACCGGAGTCCAGGCCGAGTGAGGACCTGCCCCCAGCACCCCCCCGCCTCCCCAACTACCCGCACAAAACCTGCAGGTCTGAGGAGCACAGAACCCACGGCTCTGCCGGCTCCGCACGCGTCTTCCCAGGCCAGTGCCCTGCGCAGTCCCGCCTGTTCCCCTTCCTAAGACGCCCGCTTCCTGGATCCCACAGAGGCCGAGCTCAAAGCCCGGGACGCCCTCAACCAGCCCCGACTCGGCCACGGCGACAAGAGATGCCTCCGAGCCCCTGGAGAGAGCCCGTGTTTCAGGCTATTGCCCATCCCCGGGAGAAGGACCTATCTGGAGGGGTTTCCTGATGATTAAAACGGGCCGACGGCATCTCCCTGGGGCCGGGCAGGTGACCCTTACAGGGTCCAGCCGCAGCGGACTCTCCGAGGCAGCCCGACCGTCTCCTACGGAACCACTAGCTGCCGGCCTCCGGCGGGACCTTCCGCCCATTTCCGGGAGAAAGAGCACCCACCGTCCCAGGATGTGACCCCCCACCCGGCTTTACCTCTCTGGCCTCTCAGGGTCCGGCAGCCCCATCTCGGTATCCTGCCCGCCGACCCCGTTCCTTCTGCTGAACCATAAGGAGCTCAGCCAGGACCGCAGGCTCTCTGGTCTGTGTGGACACCCCCTCACGGCTCTGGGACCTGAGCTATGGCCTCCCAAAGGCAGGAGGGCAAGCCTCCGCTCACCTGTCACCCCCGCCCCCCGCCTCAGGCCAGCTTTTCTCTCACGGCACCATCACAGCCCCTCGGAGAAGCCCCAAGCCTTCTGCTGGACCCCAGCAGGGACAGCTGTTAAGCAGCTAATGGATCTGCCTCCATCGACAGACAAGCACTCCCCTGCCCAGCGCCCACACCTTCCCGGTCAAGCGTGCTCCCGACAGCACCTCTGGACTCTCCTGCCGGTTGGGGTGGCCTGTCCATCGCCTGCCTCTCACCACCCCTTCCCGCCTGCCTCTCACCACCCCTTCCCTCGAGCATCTCAAGGCCTCTCTCTAACAAGGCTCCTACCTAAACATAGAAACGGCACCTAGAATTACAGAAGCAGATTCGGCCCAGACTGGCCGGGGGCTGCCGCGTGCACGTGCTTGCTGGGTACCACTCGCCCGGTACAGTGTGTTCTGCAGCCCCGAGAAAAAGAAACGTTCCCGGCAGACACACCCCGCACCCCGGCAGGCCCCTACGGAGCTGAGCACTCCGCTCCCTCTCTGGGCCTCTCCTGCTCAGTGACACCTCGCGCAGGGTGGGGAGGCCGGGCCTGTATTGTTGCCGCAAGCCCGCCATCCTAGCTGTCATCAGCCCTGTTTGCAAATTACTCGACAGGAAAGGCAGGACTTTCGGTGAAGGAATCAAGACGGTTCTTTTAGGCAAAGCTGGCTCTCAGAAGCCCAACAGCAGCCCTGACTTGGGCTGGGCTCTGAGGTGTGGACACAGCCCTGGCCGGCGGACGGCTCCTACGGGAACTCAAAGTTTGCTCCACCTTTACAGACAGCCCTGGGGATGGCAGCAGGGAGCCCTGACAGCTGCTGGGGGACCCCTGGGCAGGCCCCGCCCCCCTGCTCACTTCTTCTGGAAGGCCAGCAGCAGCCGCGGGTCCAGGATGTTCTCCTCCGGCTCCCAGCTGTTGTGTCTGGAAAAGCAAAGAGCAGGTCGTGGTAAACAGCAGCCACTTGAGAAAGCAGCCGATCCCTGCGGCCGGCCGAGTCCCGGAAGACCGACCCCAAGAAAGGCCCCCCGCTCGTGTCCAGGGTGAGCGCCTGGAAACGGGTTCGGAGGCCAGTGCCTTACCTTTAAACTCCAGGGGAAACTGCTACTTCAATCCCCCCGCCCCCCATGAGCTCCCGCCTCAAGAGGGCTGGTCTCCCCACTGGGAGGAAAACAAATCCTGGTGAAAGGGAAAGCGGCGGAGGGAGCCCCAAACCCTGGCCCGGAGCCCGAGCGGGAAGGGAAGGCTGTCCAGAGGCGGGAGGGGAGGCCGAGGGGCACAGAAGCGCAGCCCAAAGATTGAAAACAACGTGGCTGGCGCCCAAGCAAGCGCGGGGCAGGCACCGGGAGGGGAAAGCCAAGAAACGTGGGGTCCGCCCGGGAATAAAGGGGAGATGGGTCTGCGCGAGCGACGTAAACAGAGCCCCCTCCGGGAGCGCCGAGTCCCCTCCCTCCCATAAAAAAAAAAAAGGCAGCCCTACATCCATCAATAGACAGCTCAGGTTACAGCGGGGAACACGGACCGGAGGAGGGGGGCTCGCGTCCACGGGAAGGGGGAGGCGGGCAGGGGGCGCGAGCAACAAATG